TCTTATTTTGCTTTAGCTATGCAAATTCTTTGGAGTTAATATAAATTTGTACATAAAGCACTGTTTGTTTTCATTCTATATCCATCTGTAAATATTCTGACTGAGTTGTGAATAAAGTTTTGCCTTTCATTTATTACTATTATTATTATTTTTATTGATCAGGTTGATTTGAATTTCATAAGAGTCATGAGACTTGGGTTGGATACAAAATAATGAACATGTACATCAACTGCAAGCTGGACACGAAAAAATTAAGGCACATTTAGACAATGTATTCATAATTTTTCCACAGATATTTCAACAAGCCTGTGCAGAGTTCCAAAGCTGGTTCCAAACAGTATGTGATTTTAATAATTTTCTTTTTATAAATTCAGTATGGAACCCTATCATTTATTTCAATGGCAAGGATTCCAAATTTGACATAAACAAATTATAAGAGTTTCACACAGTTGAGTCTAGGCACAAAGCAAGTGGCCAACATCACTAGAGCTTGCCTTTGTTGTGTGCATTTTTTGCTACATGCACTTTTACTACAAATGCTTCTATTTCCCTCTGCAGTCAATAATTTACATGTGTTGTCTGATTGTATTTTTTTGATCACAGGTATGCTAAATCTGGAAACCAAGACCTGGCCATTGCTCTGAGCGAATGGGTTTTCAAGGAGAATGGTGTCCTTCGTGTGGGAGAAGTGAAACATCATCGTGCAGGAGAAGCATCACCTCCAGCTGCCTACACCATTGAAGAGGATGTGGTAATTAATTTTCTTTGCATCTCAAGTAATGTGCTACAGGATTCCCTAGAGGCACTGGCTGCTGGCATTTTGGGTATGAACATACTTTTCCTGGTCTGGAAAAAAAAAGAGTAGTCTTTGCCAGCTAAGTCTTTTTTATGGCTGGCAACTAAGAATTATCTGGAGAACACTGTTACTGTGTTCAATGGATGTGGTTTGGACAGGGGTTCTTGAGCTCCTCTGAAGGAGCTAGTGCTTCTGACAGGAAAACTCACAGAGTCTTACGGCTCTAGTGTTTCTTTTTTTTTTTTAATGATATCAATGTTTGTTCAAACCAAAAATGTTTTACTTCAGTGTTTTTCTTCTTTTTCATATTTCCAGGTTTACAGCATCAGAATTGAGGAGCTGGTTGATGGAAAGTGGGAATCATTCCAAGGGACTGATGTGCAATTGGAGTTCTTCAGGATTGATCCATTTGTGAGGACAACACTCAACAAGTCAAATGGTATTCTAGTCTCAATCTTAAATATTATTTATAATATAATATAATCAATAACAAAGGCCTGTTTGTACTATGAAGAGTTTATTGCAACTTTCAAACACTCTGGTGTATGGAAAAAAAAGCGAAGGCCTTGTGTTTTTCCCACAATGTTTTCTTTTAAGTGAAACAGCAGTTTAAAATGGGGGAAGCAAACAATTTAATACTGTTTTAGCATCAATGAGCTATTTAAAGTACATGTACATGCAGCCTTTTTTTAACCTCAGTCATGATGTTTCTTTTATGGTTACAGATGGCCTCTTTGTTGCAAAGTTCAAACTGCCTGATGTGTATGGGGTGTTCCAGTTTAAGGTGGAATATAACCGTGTGGGTTACACTTACCTCCACAGCAAAACTCAGGTATTGACATGTATTCTTTTGTTTTATTGCTGTTTGAATCGTTAGTTTGTACCATTTTGGCATATAACTCTTCAGGCACTTAACCCTTAAACTCCCAAGATCTAATTGGTAATTCTCCTAACTGTCTGCCAAATGATTCACATTATGATAGTTTGGAGAATTTGGTATCGGATCAATTAATTGATATTTTCCTTTATTCTTATCACTTATCTGCATGATATTTTATAGATATAGTAAGGAGAAATTCTGTCTTGGTCACTCACAGGAGTTAAAGGGTCAAGCTTTTTTTGTGGCACATTTTGTCAAGTGAAAGTGGCTATTTCGACTACAAGTTTACAGTTTGAATTGGTTCAATAACTACCATTTTCTTCCCTTGTTACTATGACCACCTGTTTGTAACAATACTGAAAAAGGTGATCATACCATATGTTCCTTTTTCTGCACTGAATTGTTTTTTCTAAGAGAGACAAGCTAATTTCCAGAATAACTCAGCACTTTTGTTACTGCAGTTATTCCAGTTCCATCACCTTCAAGCACTAGCCCTTGTCTACCCAAGACAATTGCCACTAACTGACTATCATCTATGGGTCATAACAATACCCTTTGTCACTTCAAAAAAATCTAATCTACACCAGTAGTGCCTTACAGGATTTAGAAGGTGTGCCATCCAAGAGGCTTACACATTCCAAAGGCCAAATTGAACCAATTTAACCTCGGCTATTCAAATGCCTGCTGTGATAAGTGACTTCTTTGTGATGCTTGCTCTTGTGCCATTGATTTGTCACTATTCCACCTCTGAACTGTGATAACATTATAGTGTTTTCTCAAGAAAGCCCATCATGTAGAAACGGTGTGGTTCGTAATGGGTAATTTGATGTTAACAGCTGAGTTGAAAACATAAATTGGCCACTGTAAAGAGTTAAAGGCTGACGTTTCGAGCGTTAGCCCTTCATCAAAGCAATAGCTGAAGGGCAAATGCTCAAAACATCAGCCTTCTAACTCTTTATGGTGGTCAATTTATGTTTTTAACTCAGTTGTTAACACCAAATTACCTGTTCTACCCTCCCACTGATGCAGTAGCACAGTTTCTTTAGAAACTTGCACCCTTTATTGGTTTGTAATGGGTTTCCTGGCTGCCTTTAGTATTTTTTTGTACACCTGTCACTTGAAAATTTAACTTATGCCCACTTAAGCATAAAAGACAAACAGTATCTTTGATGAAAGGTTAATTTCAAGTTTTTCTGGGTTTTTTTCAGGTTTCTGTACGTCCCAGAGAACACACTCAGTACGAGCGGTTCATTCCATCTGCATATCCTTACTATGCCAGTGCCTTTTCTATGATTTTGGGGTTGTTTATCTTTAGCTTGGTATTCCTACATCATCGAGATGAAGTAAAGAGCAAGGCAGACTAACCAGGCCCTTTTTAAGCTTGGATTCATCACCATTTGTAGATTTTTTTTTAAGTCAATAAAATCTGTAACTTGTTACCCAATGTAGAACTCTTTAATTGCCCCACAGATGTTTCAGAACATGTCCATATCCCACCCCTCTTCCCTGGGAAGGTTTTTAACCTTGAGACCAGTAAGAGTGACCAGCATCTTATTTCTCCTTACAATATCACACATAAATGTCACACTAGTAAAGAAAATGATCATCCAACCAAAGAAGCTCTTGATTGTTACACAAATTCTCCTTGTGAGCACCTTACAAAATGAACAGATTACCATATGGAGAATATGCATACTGATGTTAGGCTGTAAAGGGTTAAGCTTTTTCTACTGAACTCCAGACAAAGTATAACTTCTTTGTGAAACTCTCTCCTCCAAGTGCATTGAATTTTATCTTACAAAAATGTAGTAAGAGCACTCATTTTCCTGTTCTTGGCAAGTTTTCTAGTAGAACTGTATATTCAAATTAGGGGTTTGAGGTGATGTTAAGTTGTGAAAATATCTCTGGCTATCAAAATCTAGCAGTCTTACAATGAGAGTTTGCATTTCATTTGAAGGGACGTTAACTGTTGACACCCTGGCATGAATATGTACATTCTCTATACTGCTCTTTATACATTCCCTATTGTGTTGCCAACAAGAGTTTGTTTGACAATCACTGGCTTCTAAATGTTTGCAATCATTTTCGTTCCTCCAATGACCTTAATGTTTGATTCAGCAGTGATATGTTGTAAGGAGAAATTAGGTCCCAGTTACTCTTACGTGTTAGAAGGTTAAGGCCTGAGATAAACATTATCATGCACAAAGGGTTCTAAAGAGGGCATCTGGTAGGGGCTGGCAAAAAAAGAATCCTTATACAAACATACTCATATGCTCTCCTCAAAGTCTTTTGCCTTATTTCACAAGCACTAGGCTCAGTAAACAGTTGATTTTCTAGAAGTGAACCTGTTCTCCTTTCCCAAATTAATACCTTTTTCAGTGGAGCAAAAACTAAACTCAAGAAAAAAAATCAAGTCACCCCCAACAACACCACCACAGGGATATTATTTCTAGTTTCACTTCAGTTAATCACCAGACTAATGATGTGCACAATGTTAACTTTCATCATCTGGAGACAATTTCTGAATCTATAGGATGAAAGATTAATAATAATTTTGGAAGATTACAGCAGTCTACAACTTCTAACAGAAGTCCAATGACAAAGGAAGGTCATTTTTTTTGATACATTTGAAGTGAGATTGTGCTGACAAAGCAACATAATGGCATTATTATCATTATTATGGCTCCTATGGGCACATAAGAATGTAACAAATAAATGACAGAACAAGGTTGACTTTCATTAGTAATAGCATGAGCATGCAGATATGTAACATAAAAGTATCAATGGAATTTGGAAGCACTCTTTGCAGTAATGAACACCACTTAAGCAGTAGTGAAAATGAAGTCAGAAAAAAAATTCAGGCTTGTACAAGATTTGGAGCCATGACCTCCATGGTGCAGTGCTCTACCAATTGTGCAACATACAAGACATTAATCATGCATACTGAAAAACTGGCCCTGCTTGGTTAAATGGTGGATAACACCATCTCACAGACAAATCACAAGTCAGAGGATAGCCCAAGGCATTTTGTTAAAAATATCCCCTGAATGTCAATTTATCTGTTGGATGGCATTATCTGAACAACTGAACACTGATTTTTATTTGATGACGATAGCCTTAGGCTATTATATAGCAAGTGTAAACAAGGCTTTACTCTCAGCCACCCATCCCACTCCCATGAGTGACCAAGACAGAATTTCTCCATACAGTGTCAATACAACATAAAGCGGACAAGTGGTGAGAATAAAGTAAAATATCATTTAGCGATTGTTAGTTGATCAAATACCAAATTCTCCAAACCAACATCATAAGAATTGTATTGCAGACAGTAAG